TACTCAAGTGCAAAAAGTCACTTTTTTTGAAAATTTTGCACACCCAAGCACTCAAATTGATCCTTTTCTCTCATTAAACCATACTAGGCCTTTAACTAAGTCCAAAAAGATCTAATACACCTAATTGATGACAATTAATCATAATCATGCTCATATATTGAAATTTGACCCTTCTACAGCCAATTTTCACAATTCACTTAACATACTATGCCATTTCTTAGCATAACTTAGCCTACTTGGTTATTTCTCAACTCATACATATGCAATCATATTCACAATACAATCTTAGCCCTTAAATTACTCATTTCCTCATAATTTGTCCCTTAGCTTAAGATTTACTAATCATAATCACAATACAATCTTCGCCCCAAATTACTTATTTCCTCATAATTTGTCCTTTGGCTTAAGATTCACCAACACATAACCATTGCAACACAACCATACTCAAATCAAAGCCCTTTTATCTCAAACAATACATATACATATAATTCGGGCTTAATTTCACCAAAAACTTAATTCAATATATGTATACAACCCTATGACAACTCATATATACTTATATATATAATCTTTTAGTTTAGTTCATTACATAACTTCAGAGTACACGGCTTCTCAACTCAAGCCAATCCAGACTCTCTTCTGTTAGCTTGATCACTTCCCAGTCCTATAAATATGTAACCATGGGGGTGAGATAAAAATCTTAGTAACAGAATAACTTACTCCTATTGACTATCACATGCGACAATATGAAAGTAAACATAATATATCATTAAAATCTCATAAAGTAGTAATTACATCACATATCACAATTCATTTTCAACTTTTTATCAATCCTAAAGGATTCCGTGTTATTTCAAGATATTTTAACATATCACATAAAATACTAGCATGATCTCTACCAACCAAACCTCCAAATCATCCCGACATGAAACCATAGGATCATCTCAGACCAATGTACACTTTCATTAGTCTTGAGCTCACCTGCAGTAATAGAATCACCCGGCCAAAGATGTTTTAACACACAATATGAACTATAGTTTTTCCCCTAATACACACAATAGGGCGTCGTTGACTCCAACTCGTATCACAAAGACACTAAGGAGTCTCTCATCTCTAACACAATACCTTAATATAAACTCAAGAAATCTTCTCCAACACTGCACCTTTCAAGGCACTAAGGAGAATTGTTTCCAATACCGCACCCTAATAGGATACTAAGGAAACCTTGTCATATGGTCTTTATCGTCTCCTATACTCTTAGGTGAACTCCCATACTCTTTACATTACAAAAAACATAATTTCAATGCTTATTTCAATCAAAAGCCGTGTCACACACAACAATCACTCAATGCTATAAAACATGCTTAATTCAAAACCATTTCATGCATTACATAGCATACTAACATACAGTTACAATAAATAGTCAAATAAAGAAAGTCATTGATTACCTCAACCCTTCTGTCACTAGAAAGGTTACTCATGAATTTCCACTATCGTAAACTTCCTTTCTCTGCTCGCTTGCACAATATGCCAATCTAAACACATTTGGCACATTTTAGTTAATTGGTCCATTTTGACCAAAAACTCATTTTTACTACTTAGGGCTATATTCATCCATAAACTCTTTTCTATTTATCCATTTTAAGTCCATGGCTACCCAATTACTACTTTACACTACCTCAACCATTCTTATTTCACTCAAATCAAATTTTTACCCTAACTTTCTCTCTCTAAAGGCTAAAATTGAGCCTGCAAATTCAAAGCTCTACCGTTTAACTCTAAACCAGTCATAAAGCTCTAATTTAACTTTTGAGAACCTTTTTATTACTATTCGGCAAGAATTAAACCCCTCAAATTCCATCGATTCAATTTTCCTATAACTCATTTTCAGATAAATTTGTGTAGAATGGAAGGTAAGAGTTATACGTTGTAATATCCTCACTCCATTAACTATGCTTAACAAATAGAGCTCATGCTAATCGAGGGATTAGCTCCGAAGAGTGATTACGAAGGCTTAATATAAAAGGAAAGGATCCTAATATTTTCTAAATAGAAACAAGTTGAAAATCAATCAAAAACTTCCTATCAGAGTAAAAATAAGTTACAGAAGCATGGGATACCTCAAAGGAGTGAAGGAAGTTAAAAACAGTTGAAAACAAATTATGTACTGAAATACAGAGTTATGCGCCGTGGAAAATGCACTCTGTGCTGTGGCATGTTGCTCTCTATGCCACGTGCGGTGGCTCAGGCGCCATGTGTCGTGGTGTGTTCTACGAATCTTCCACTAGTTCTGCTATCAAAATGATAACAAAATCAAGGAAACTTCCGACTCGTCTTGATTCTCCGTCTGACGTCTGAATGATATGATCTAGGTGTCTACAGACATAGTTTTACTCCCAAAACAAGTCAAACTAGGAAGTTGGGTACCCAAACACAATTTAACCGCTTTTTAACTCTTTTACACAAAATGGGTGTCTAAAACCCTCAATAAGTGCCAAAAAGCTTTTCCTAACACCTAGATCATCTCTAATAGACCTAGGACTACTAGTACAACACGCACAAGCACCGAAACAACATTATAACTAAAACTCACACCTTAACCCCAATTTACCAAAAACAAAGGGAGAGGTAAAATAGCATTGCATTTAACTCAAATCATTCAAAACATGCTCAAATCTTCATTTCTACACTTGCGCTAGTATTTTGGCCCTATAAACATATATATGACAAAAATACACAAAGGCTGAAGGCCTAAAATATAGTATCAACATATTCAATAACCAAAATAGTGCAAGTAAGGTATTATGCATCCTAAGATTGGCAAACATATGCTATTACACAACTATATCAAAACTAAAGGCATACGAGAAGGAATGTACTAATTTCCCGCCTCTTTAGTCTTCTCCCTCTCAACACTAGAGCTAGAGCCTGAAAAGTATTAAATAAGAGGGGTGAGTCTAGCCACTCAGTAACTAAGATTAAACCTACCCTATGCAGTTATATATCAATTATAAAACAATTACATGCACAATGAGATCAAATTTATAAAAAAAATTTCCCCATATATCACATTTTATCATTTAACACTCTAGCTTCTTTACTCACATAACTAGGTGCAATGTCACCATATTCTCATATATGTGACAAGACCCATACTCTGGCGACTTGCCACTATTTAGCATGTGTGACACGTCATATATTTACTTAGGCAATAATCAACTAACCTTATATCCTCCTCATTTTCTCAGACTAAAACCGTGGGCTATACATAGATCAGGGCTCTGTTCGTGTGACTGGACTACCTAAACTCACCAATTGTGAGGTGTGACCTAGCCAAAGATAATAGAACTCACTCTCAGACCACAGCTTCCCCCATTCTTGAATCCCTCGGGTCTCTCATACCCTAGGCTATTCTCCTCATTGAACTGGTGGAGATAGTTAGGTTCTAGTCCCTCAACAAACTATGGGACAGTCCCTCGATAAACAGTGGGACAAGGCTATAGCCCCCACGCATCGGAGGGCAGCCTAATTACCACATGGATTTTCTCTACTCCTAAATCCCTAGGCAAACTCTCACTACTGATCATGCCATAAACCATACTTACTTGTTCTCACTTTTCACTTTCACATACTCACTATTACAACCATCACATTAGGCTTACGACCTTGTACTAACCAAGTGTGTATCCTCATCTTTTTCTCAAGATTCATTTCTTATTAACACAAAACTATTTATACACATCATCACATTCATTTCTCAAAAATATAGGCATATTCATAATGCAATCCTCTTAACTTTGCACTTACATTTTCAAGCCCAAAAATATCTTTTCATGCACTCAAAGAAGCTAATATATAGTTCTTACTTAAACAACCAATCCCATGCATGTAAGCATTTGCAATTTCACATTCTCAACCAATTAACAATCAATTAACATATAACTATCCAAAGTAAAGTTTTCCCTCGGTTACCTCAAACCTTTGAGAGGTCAAAGGTTTATCCCTCAATTAACTAGCCTCTAAGCTTGAATTTCCACTCCATTAAGTAACCAAGAGCCAAAACTACAGTCTACCAAGTTGAATTTTATCAACATAATAAACTCAAATAATTGAACCCTCAATCTCTACTTCTAAGTTGACCAACCTTCACTTTACAAGAGGTGGAGCCTAACTATTGGATTTAATAGTTACCTTTAGCCCCCAATAGCATTAATGAGCTATTAAATTCCCATTAATAGCATCATAAACTTCCAACTACCATAATAAATAGGATTTTTCAAGTATTTATGGTGTCCAACAACCCAAGACACTAAAACTCATCACACCTAGATTTAAATACTCTAATCTACCCCCATTAACTCCATTTGAATCAATAAATTCAAACCCATAACCTATATGGATAAAATTCCGCTTTAACTACCAAACCCTTAACCATAAACTCATAAATGTGGAAGAAAAGGGGAGATTAATGAGTATGGTACTTACCTTGGGTGTTTGTAGGCTTCAAAATACTCTTAAAGTAGAACGCAAGTAAACCCTAGCAGAGCATTAACACACCTCTCCTTTCTCTCCTTTCTTTTTCTTTCCTTTTTTATCTCATTTCACGTCTAATAAAGTGCACAAAATGGCCATGTGCAGCAACGGACGCACAACGTGCTGTGGCGCAAGGCACAGAGAGGTCCTTCCTTGCTCAGAGATGGCTGTGCACCGTGGGTGATCTATGCACCGCGACATGTGTCATAGTAGCTTCAACTCTTCTTTTCTCCTCCTTTCAATGCCCAGGTGGCCCACCTCAATATCGGACCCACAACTAGGGCTGAAATAGCAACAAACATGATTATTAGACCTTTTTGGCCACACACCACTTCAATTTACTTAATTACCATAATTAAATTTAATTAGTCAAGGGATTAAAACTCGACATGTTACAATTCTCCCCTCCTTTTCAGAATTTTGTCCCCATAATTCACCTAATCTAGCAAAGCTAGTAAAACCTTACCTCATAAAAACAAATGAGGATTCTGGTTTTTCATTTTCTCTTCAGTTTCCCATGTAGTATCACCAGAAGTCATCCCTCTCCAAATGACTTTCACCAACCAAATTGTCTTATTTCTCATCTGTTTCTCCTTAACATCTATAATTTTCTCCGACTCTGCCCAATATGTCAAATTCTCACATAACTCCACATCCTCGGGCTCAATCACATGTGAAGGGTCAGGTTGATACTTCTTCAATTAAGACACATGGAATACATCATGCACACCCGATAATTGAGGGGGTAAGGTAATCCGGTATGCTAGAGGCCTAAATCTCTCAAGAATTTGAAATGGCCTAATAAATTTGGGGGTCAACTTCTTTGCATGAATAGATCTCCCAATTCCAGTCATAGGTGTGATCTTCAAAAATACGTGATTTCCCACTATAAACTCCAACGGTCTCTTCCTCTTATCTGCATAGCTCTTTTGCCGACTTGAGTAGTTAATAACTTTTACCTAATAGTCTCAATTTTCTCAGTAGTTTGATCCACCAAATTAGGACCCATTATGCTTCTCTCACTCAATTAAGTCCAGCAAAATGGTGATCTACACTTCCTGCCGTACAAGGCTTCATATGGAGCCATTTGAATGCTCGCATGAAAACTATTGTTATAAGAAAATTCTGCCAAAAGGTAAGTGCTTATCCCAACTACCACTCCACTCGATAGCACAAGCACGTAGCATATCCTTTAGAGTCTGGATGGTCATCTCAATTTGACCATCTGTCTGAGGGTGATGAGCTGTACTGAACTTCAGCTCTATACCCATGGCCTCGTGTAGTGCTTTTTAAAAGTTTGAGGTGAACCTAGGATCGTGGTCTGACACAATCTCTTTTGGCACCCCATGTAACCTCACAATCTCTTGAACGTAGACCTCTGCAAGCTTCTCTAGAGTATAATCAAAACTAATGGCTAGGAAATGAGTAGACTTGATCAACCTCTCTACAATTACCTAAATAGCATCATGATTCACTTGGGTACGTGGCAATCCCATAATGAAATCCATAGAAACATAATCCCATTTACACATGGGAATCTCTAATGGTTGTAGCAATCCCAGGGGTCTTTGGTGCTCAATCTTCACCTTCTGACAAGTCAGACATTAGGATACATACTCTTTCACACCCCTCTTCATACTAAGCCACCACTACCTAGTCTTCATGTCTTCATATATTTTGGTAGTTCCTGGATGTGTGGTAAATTTACTTTGATGAGCTTCAGCTAGAATGATCTCTCGAAGCCCTTTATCATTAGGTACACATACCCGATCTCTAAACACTACTAACCCATCATTATTGAAACAAAAGTCCTTGGTCTTGTTTTCCTCGATATCATCTCTAATCTCTAACAGATACTTGTCTTCAAGCTGGGCTTTTCTCAAATCTTTCCAGAATTTATTGGTGATTACCATTGTATTCAAGTTGTACATAGTAAAATCTGGACTATTTTGGTGTTTACTAGAGAAATTCTCTAATAGCTTGTGCTCATAGATCATTAGCCACACAACATACAAGCTCTTACAGCTTAAAGCATCGGCCACCATATTGGCCTTCCTCGGATGGTACTTTAACTCAAAATTATAATCTTTTAAAAATTCCATCCACCTTCACTATCGCATATTTAACTCCTTCTGATCAATTAAGTACTTGAGGCTCTTATGGTCACTGAATACCTTAAACTACGAACCATAGAGATAGTGCCTCCATATTTTCAAAGCAAAACACAACCACTGCTAACTCAAGGTCATGAGTTGGATAACTCTCCTCATGCGATCTTAGCTGTCTTGATGCATAAGCTACAACTCTATCATCTTGCATTAATACACAGCCTAGTCCCTTAAGTGATGCATCGATGTAAACCACATATGGCCATTTGGGATTTGGAATAGTCAACACTGACACTGTAGTAATCTTCTCTTTCAAAGTCTAAAATGCCTCTTCGCACTTCTCTGTCCAGACAAACGGTTGATCCTTCTTTGTTAGCTTCGTCAGAGTAGAAGAAACTTGAGAGAATCCTTGGATAAATCTCTGATAATAGCCGACTAAACCTAAGAAACTTCTTATCTCGATTACCGATATTGGTCTCTCCTACTGTAGTACCACATCAACCTTGTATGGATCTATTGCTATGCCGTCAACAGAAACAACATGTCTTAAAAATTTTACGTCTTGTAGCTAAAATTCATACTTGCTCAATTTGGCATACAACTTATGCTCTTTCAACACTTGCAGTACTATCCGCAGATCTCTTATGTGTTCTTCCTCATCTCAAGAGTATATCAGGATATCATTAATGAAAACCACTATAAATTTGTCTAAGTAGGGTCTGAAAATCATTTTCATGTAGTCCATAAAGATCCCAAGAGCATTTGTTCGACCGAAGGGCATTACTAAGAACTCATAGTGCTCGTATCATGTCCTAAATACAATCTTAGGCACATCTTTTTCCTTAACCCTCAATTGGTGATATCCAGACCTTAAATCAATTTTAGAGAAAATTGTAGCTCCGGCAAGTTGGTCAAGCAAATCATTAATCCGTGGCAACAGATATTTATTCTTAATCATCACTTTGTTGAGTTGCTTGTAGTCAATACACAACCTCATAGTCCTATCTTTCTTCTTTACAAACAATACAGGTGATCCCCACGGTGATACACTCAGCCGAATGAATCCCTTCTCTAGTAGTTCTTCTAACTACTTTTTCAATTCTTCCAATTTTATAGGAGCCATCTAATACGGAGCTTTAGAGATTGGCTCAGTACCGGGTACTAAATCAATTAAGAATTCAATCTCTCTTTTAGGTGGCAATCCTGACATTTGGTCATTAAACACCTTTAGAAACTCATTCACCACACCAATTCTATCAATTCCTCCATTATACGCTTCATGTGTAGGATAATAGATCATAAAAGCTAGACACCTTTCTTTCACTGACTTCTCCACTTGTAGAGCTATCAAGAACTTGGGAGTCTCATAATCCACTACTGACAATGACTTGATAGGTTCAGGGTTAACAACTATCACTGTGTAAATTGGTAAGGAGACTGTCTTTTTATTACAATCAAGTGTTGCACCATTGGTAGACAACCAATCCATCCTTACTATTATATCAATGCCACTCAAAGGTAAGCAGATTAAGTCAATCACAGAAACTCTATCACCAAACTTCAATTCTAGTTTCAAATAAGCCCGACTAGTCCTCACATATGCACCAGCCGGTGTAGAAACATTCATGGCAAACGGTTTATCAAGCATATGCAATTTTAGCCTCTTGGCACAATCATTAGATATAAAGGAGTGTGTGACACCAAAATCAAACAAAGCATCTATCTGGTGACCACAAAGTGAGATTGTACCTCTAATCAACTTTGGTGAAGCTTTGGCCTCCTCTCTGGTCATGGCGAAGACTCGTCCTGGGATAATAGATCTCTAATCAGGAGCAAGTATGTTCTCTAGGTAAAACTTGGCTATGTGACCCACCTTATTGCATTTGAAGCAAACCCAACATTACCTTGGTGATGTTTCCCATATCTATTGCACTACAAGACTCTAGCTGGCATCATAGCAGATAGAGCTGTAGATCCCTACTAGGAAGTCTGATTTCTTATCCAGCTCATACTCCTCAGGGCATTGCTCCTCTGGTTGGATCCTTTAGATTAGAACCCCTTTTGGAAGCTCTTTTTCTTGCTTCCTCCAGCATTGTACCTCCCAAACAAGCTTGGATTAAAACCTGACTTCTTACTTACTCCGCCTATAAGGCTGTGTAGGAAGAGAATCTCCCTTGACCATCTCTTTTCTTTTCTTCTACCACTCTACTCCTTCTGCTATAGCTTTGAACTTGTTGCATATAACCTTGAAGGAAGTAATGTTAAAGGCAGCTAACTGTTAGCTGAATTCAGGCCTCATCTTATCAAGAAACTGCTCGGCCTTCCAATACTCATCGTCATGATAACTCAGGTAGGTAGAGTACTTCGATAGCTCATTGAACTTCGAATAAACTCCTCCTTATTCATATTTCCCTATTGAAGTCTATGAAATTTTACCTCTTTCTCTGTTTGAAATGAAGCTGGGAAGTAGTGGGCGAAGAATTGCCTCTTAAACTCTATCCATGTCAACTGCGAGCCATCCACCGGCCTCATACTTTCCCACCATTACTTTGCTGTGTTCTCGAGCATAAAAGTGGCTAAGAGAACCCTCTACTTAGTCGTACAGGTCTCAAGCCTATCGATCTACTTCTCAGCTGCTCGGTCCTCTATAAAACCCTCAAAGGAACGAGGATTCAACCTCATGAATCGCTTTAGAGCCATATCAATGGAGCCTTCTGACTCACGCATCCTAAGCTGCACTAGTCGCACCGGCCTCTCAGGAATACTTTCCTCATAGTACTCTTTGTCTCTATGTCTGTGCACCTCAACGTGCACATCCATCTCGAGCTTCCTCTTGGTTAACCCCAACTCTCTCCACTATCCTACTACTCTCCCCAGGTCTTCTTTTAAGGATCTTGTCATAACCATCCATTCTCCTTTGGATGTCCATCATTATATGCCTCAGTTCATCCAGGGCATTGTCTTTGTTACCCTGTTGAGGTCCTGGTTGTTGCTCTAGGTTTACTGGTTCTTGTTCCAGTCTTTGCACATTTTCTGGTGCATTTCCTACATTTATGGCTTTTGTTTGCACCATATTCTCCCCTTTTAAAGATGAAAGCAATCCCAAAAAGGAAAAAGGGAGTTAGCACTAGCTCGATGAGGGAAATAACAAGTGTAATAAGATATTGTCAATTCTATATATGCAATGCACAAATCTGAACAACTCAATCACACAAAAACCATAGACCAGTTCTCAAAACTAAAGAAACTGATACCAGGTTTGTAATATCCTTACTCTACTAACCACGCTTAACAAATAGAGCTCATGGTAATTAAGGGATTAGCTCCAAAGAGTGATTACCAAGGCTTAATATAAAAGGAAAGGATCCCAAGATTTTCTAAATAGAAACAAGTTGAAAATCAATCAAAAACTTTCCTATCAGAGTAAAAAAAGGTTACGAAAGTATGGGATACCTCAGAGGAGTGAAAGAAGTCAAAAACGGTTAAAAATAAATTATGTACTGAAATACAAACTGCGGTGGATGCACTCTGTGTCGCGGCGTGTTACTCACTATACCACATACCATGGCTCAAGCACCATGCGCTGTGGCGTGTTGCACAAATCTTCCACTAGTTCTGCTACCAAAATGACAGCAAAATTAGGGAAACTTCCAACTTGTCTCGATTCTCTGTCTGATGTCTAAATGACATGATCTAGGTGTCTATGGAAAGCTCTTTTCCTGCACTAACTAATGGCATGGGTTTTACTCTTAAAACAAGTCACACTAGGAAGTTGGGCACCCAAACACAATTTAACCACTTTTCAACTCTTTTACACAAAATAGGTGTCCAAAACCCTTAACAAGTGCCAAAAGCTTTTCCTAACACCTGGACCATCTCCAATGGACCTAGGACTACCAGTACAACACGGCACAAGCATCAAAACAACATTATAACTAAAACTCACTCCTCAATCCCAATTTACCAAAAACAAAGGGAGAGATAAAATAGCATTGCATGTAACTCAAATTATTTAAAACACTAGTACAAAAATGATTGTTTACAGCAGTTAAAAATGACTTTTTACAACGGTTAACGAGACAATGTTGTTCCAAGGGATGTAGAAAGTCCCTCTTTTTACATCAGTTATAAAGCCGATGTTGAAAATTATATACAAGAAAATTAAAAAAAATTACTTTAACTTTTTACACCGGTTCCGATCCCAACCGGTGTAAAAAATGCACCTTTTACACTGGTTGGGATTGGAACCAATGTAAAATGTACACTTTTTACACCGGTTATTGTAAAAGGTGCACGTTTTACACCGGTTGGGATCGAAACCGGTGTAAAAGGTACACTTTTTACACCGGTTATTACCATAACTGATGTAAAAAATATTATATTCTACAACGGATGTGGTAATAACCGGTGTAAAAAGTATTTTATTTTTTTTATATTATATTTATTTTATCAATTTTACCCATTCCTGTGCATAGAAATTGCCAAATCAGACAGCTCAATTAATTTACAATTGTTTATTAAGTATTTATCAACTATACAAAGCTATTTAACTATTAAAAAAACTAATAATTGTCTAAATTATCAAAATTGCCATTCCTATGCATAAAAATTGCCAAATCAGACAGCTCAATTCATTTACAATTGTTTATCAAGTATTTATCAACTATACAAAACTATTTAACTATTAGGAAAACTAATAATTATCTAAATTGTGTCAACTATCAAAATTAAAACATGTCTAAAAGTAACAAAAAACCTTACAAGTTCTCCACAAAATAGGTTGCCTAACGTATGCGGATGTCTTCAATTTCAGTTTCAGAAAATGCATCCGAATTGTCGAACATCTAAAATTTAATTCTTAAAGTAGGCATCTTAATCAATCTCAAATAACATAATAAAATAAAATTTTAAAAATATATATATTTACCTCTTTTGTAAATTCGGTCATGCCTAATGTGATAATATTGAGCATGTGCCTCATGACATATAGACCGCACAAGTTCATCCTCACCGGTTGTCTATGACTCTATATAAGAACAAATCATAAAAAATTAGTAAGAAATCTTAATAGTTGAACATATTAATAAAGTATAGCATCACCTTTGGCTCAATCCATGTGGGATTCTTGAGCTCATGTCCATACTTTTGTAAGACTACATTTTGATATGTTCTCATTGCCCTATGATCAAGATTACCAAGTTAGTAAAAATATTCAAAAAAAATTAAATTAAATAGTTTAGTAAAAGTATTCTTACAAGTCTATCGTCTTCTTCATTTCTTTCCCAAGTTTGTAATGGAGGGAGCATAAAAAGATGACAGTGTTGCTCTTCATTGAAAGAACAAATAACTGCCAATGGTCCCTGCTAAATATGATACAAGTTAAAGTAAATCCATATTAAAAAACTATTAATTATAAATTGATCCTTACGAGTACACATATGGAGCCATAAAAACGTCCTTTTTGACTTCACATATTCTCTGTTGGAGGTACGCGGCCCTTAACTCTGGAGTATTACCTTTCTCTGTCATGTGATGAGGGCAAAGGAATCCAAACTATACTTTTTACACCAAGTGGGGGAACCTGGTGTAAAAAGATAACTTTTTACACCAGGTACCTGGACACCTGGTGTAAAAAGTGTCACATAATTCAAGATAATTACAAAAATACCACCGCCTTTATTTTTAACACCGTTTGCCTTCCAACCGAAGTAAAAAGTACCCCATAAATTTTATATTTTGTACTAGTGAAACATGCTCAAATCTTCATTTCTATAATTGCACTAGTATTTTAGCCCTATAAACATATATATGACAAAAATACACAAAGGCTAAGGGCCCAAAATATAATTCCAACATTTTCAACAACCAAAATAGTGCAAGAAAGGTAATATGCATCTTAGAATTGGCAGACATATGCTATTACACAACTACATCAAAACTAGAGGCATACGAAAAGGAATGTACTAATTTCCCGCCTCTTTAGTCTTCTCCCTCTTAACACCAGAGCTAGAGCCTAAAAAGTATTAAATAAGAGGGGTGAGTCTAGCCACTCAGTAACTAAGGTTAAACCTACCTTATGTAATTATATATCAATTATAAAACAATTACATGTACAGCGAGATCAAATTTAAAAAAAAACGTTTCCTTATATATCACATTTTATCATTTAACACTCTATAACTTCTTTACTCACATAACTAGGTGCAATGTCGCTATATTCTCAAATATGTGACAAGCCCCATACTCTAGCAACCTGCCACCACTTAACACGTGTGACACGTCATATATTTACTTAGGCAATGATTGCAATGTCCACCTTGACATTACCAAAATTCACCACACAATCACAACAAACAATCATAATTAGGAGCAAGAATTGCTCCAAAGCTCACATTATATATATAAGGGTTAAAATTAATAATCTTTTGAAAATAATTCTGAAATATTTTAGATCCCATAAAAAACTTTCAAATTGGTAGTTTGAGCTTAAACTTAAGGATTTATAAAGGTATTGGAAGCATGGAAAAGTTTTGGGAATCAAACCACTTCAAAACAGGGCCAAAAATGTCATTTTTTAGTGTTTTGGTCCATGCGCCGCGGCTTGTGGCACAGAATGCCTTGTTTTCTCACTATACCATGCGCCACGGCTTGCACGAAATGCGTTGCAGCGCACCTGTCCATGACAGCAATGCTGTCATGACAGTTTTTCTGGATGAAATTCAAACGCGCGCCATTTTTACATCTGACGTCTGATTAGAGTGATTCAAGCGCCTGCGCGAAGCTTATTCAATA